GTTGGATGCCGGGATTATAAAAGAGGCCAAACAGGCAGACAGCGCTATAAGGCCGTTTGAGTAGTCTTCCGAGATTTCAGACTGGCTCACTCACTGGATGGAGTGATCATTATCTAGTCCTAACCAGACACTGCCGTTTCGTTTAATGTGTTCAGTTTGGGTGTGAATCGACTCCGCACAGAGTAGTCTTCCGAGATTTCAGACTGGAACCCTCACTGGATGGAGTGATCATTATCTAGTCCTAACCAGACACTGCCGTTTCGTTTAATGTGTTCAGTTTGGGTGTGAATCGCCAGACTCCGCACAGCGTTGGTTTGCATGTATCGAAAATCCCGCTTGAATTAGTTGTGCCTGGTCAAATAGAGCCAGCCGGAGCGTGCAGCACAGTGGATGAATCCCCTCCTAGGTTTTATTACTGGGACGTATTTTGAGGTGTCCCTTCTCTACCTCATAACGGACCCCAACAAGAGGAGGTTCTGTCACTGCTCTGCAGTTCATCTGACAGTCACTAGGCCTAGCCAGATCAACTATGATTTTTAATAGATGCAGGATGCTGTGAGAAGTTTGGCTATTCCCACCCTACATGCTTCAGCCAAAGTAACGGCCTATCTGGTTAAGACTAAACGATGGTCATACGGAACAGGTGCGTGATGTGTCAAAATGCCACAGGCTGCAAACATCAGAGTATTTCCCCAACCGTACACAGGACTTCCTTATCTATCATTCTGACTGCTATGATTCCGATTTTTCCTCTCCTGACGGTCAATCGCAGTGGCCGAAACGTCCAGCAATAAACCTCGGTATATTAACATTATGTTACTCCATCATAATCCAACTAAACCAAATGTTCCACCCAACACACAATCTTTTCGGCTTCATTAGCACCGATTGCGGCGGAAGTGTTCCCAGAATACTTGAACACTTTATGAGGTTGTAAGTAATACAAGTAATCCTGTCAATGAAGGTCCCATTTGTGAACTTTGTTGTTTTCGCTGGCCTGTGAAGCATTCCAGGTGCAATCGATTTTGTCGCCCCTACATTATCCGTTTTCTGTTTACCTTTTGCGGATTCGTCGACACCAGCATATGCTCATGAAGCGCGAATGACTCGACGTTGTCCGTGATTAGTTGCTCGTCTGAGACACTATAGGGTTGACTCGGCTAACTGGCAAGAGGTTGGAAATCCGATTTACTACCCAGGTTCAGGAGCTGACGAGTGTGTTACACTAGCCATTACATTAAGTCAGCGTTTCTCGTGCAATGGGAAAATGGCGGTTACTTACACGAGTTTGTACACGTTCCGAACTATCCACAGTAAGTTTAGATGGTATGTGCCACCCGAGTGGTTGTGCACAGTAACACACTTTCTTACTGTATCAACCGTACACGAAAATTATTCAAAGAATAGAATGGAAGTGGTATTCGTAGCGGTTGTCACTGTAACCGTTGTAACTGTGTCCGGTTTCATTTTCACTTTATTTCGGGGACGTACCTAGAAACTCGATAGGAAAACACTTCTCATTTTCAGTCATCCAGGCAGACGTCCAATGTGACAGAGCACGGTGACCTTTGCTGCGCCCTAACCTTCTGAATCATGAAGTTCTGTCGGTAATAGGTCAAGTGAATATCGTCCATTTATTCCTTGACTAGATACTTCTCGCTTCCGAACAATACACAGATTGAGTTTAAACCCTTCAGTAATGTGAGACCGGATTGGTCAACCTTGCTGGACTTGCGATCTATTATACACCAGAATCAGGTAAAACTCAACTGTAAAAGTATAAACTGTCGCATACCTGGATTGCCAATTATGTCATAGCTTTGTTTTGTCATATAAGTCCTAAGTAACCTAGCTCCGTAAACTGCTTGCATGTTCTAGTTGCGATCCAAACGTTCTGATATCTGTACTACCATACCTGCACCTTCAATCTGCTGTACTGACATTCCATTGGTGCTCGGTTTGGCAATCTTTGTTGACCACACTCAGCAGTAGATCCATCGACAATAGTCTTGTACACTGGCTGGACTGGTCGCTGACACCAATGTCTAGAGTTTTTCTCCGATCAACAGCGGGCAGTATCACTCGGAGATCAACATACTTGACATACAATATGCAGATAGTTTTTGTGGTGAAAGTTGAAAAATTCTTGTCTTCAACGTAATTTTATATCAATAGCTCTGGGGGGGGGGTTGGTCATTTTCAATTCTAATTTTGTCACCCATAAAAATCTCTTTTCGTTCCAGACAGTCTATCGCGGCTGTGACGGGGAATTAGTTGTTCCTCAACAAGTTTTGGAGCATCCGGATGGGTCACGGACCATCGTATTGGGTCGCGGGAACGAGATTTTTTGTCGTTGTCGCCGGGGTAACCATTGTGATTGTGGGTATGGCTTGGGTGATGCTGCCCTATTAGGCTTAGCCGCAGGAACAATGATGTGGAGTCCATTTCTCTGGGCACCGCTTTTTTGGTGCTGATCTCTATGGAAAACGCGAGTCGACGTCAAACTCAATTGTCATCACCTCTTACAACTGACCAGATGTTCAAGGTTCCATTTACCTTACACAAGTTATCATCAGTTTTCATCCTTACACCTTTGAGCTGTCATTTTTATCAGTTTGTCGCTGTGATCTTTTTAATATTAGCCGATACAGCGAGACGTTATTTTTTCCTCACAGCCACTTAATTTGTGTATTTCTACTGTACATTACTATCTCTTCACCTCTATTTTTGCTGGTTTGCTTTTCTGTAGGCTGTATATCTTTGCCGACCTTGTATATTCTCTGGATTCATGATGAGACTCGAGCAAGCGTACGTATACCCCGAATTCTCTCTTAAAATACACTTCCATCCCCTCAGAATTGCAATACAGAAACACGGTAACGTAGTTTCTAGTTGTATTGTCCCGTCAGTTGGTCGCCCCTTAAGTACTGTGTCACATCTATAACCGTCTTTGCGTAGCGTGGAACAACTGAGTTCTGGAGAGATCCATAAGACTGCCGCACTCTAACGTGGTCTATAGACTCCTGTAGAAGTGGGCTACACCACACGTTTTTCAGATACGTGATTTTGCCAAATCCGAAGAGAATGGTCTGAGGATGCCGGTAACATGCGATTGTTAAACAGAGGGTCAAATGACGAAGCACCTCCACACTTACATATTTTGATCAAGTGAGAGTGAAGGACCCCTTTTGGTTGAGGACCAACCAAAGTTTTCAAAAGGTTTTAACAACAAGGGTAAGGGGCATGATCACTTTCACGTCGCAACCCCCGTCGGTAAGAGTTGTTACACTTTTTCATATCGAAATCGTGAATCCTTAAACACTTCACAGTTTCGATGTATTTTTTTCATTCTTGCCCAATACACAAAGTACGCAAAAATATCAAGTTTCGGTAGGATCGTTCATGCAGTCACGTGATTACGGAATGACTCATATGCTAGAGGAACAATCAAATCCTAATTGCCGGGTGGAATGCGCTTGTGTGGAGCGAAATTATCAGTCATTTACAGAGCTAGTCAAGTTGGGCACAAAATCACTGGGGACACAAGCAATATACCCATAACTCCGGGCACTCATTCAGACAGTCTGGGAAGAAACTGACAACGAGGATGCCATTGAGATCGATTAGCAGCTCTCCTTAGCAGGGCATCCACAGATAAGGTGGCTAACTGGAAACAATTAGGCGTTGTTCCATTTGGTCATGAGGCCTCATGATTAAGATTAACTTGTGCTTGCAGTACCCGAGCGCCGAAGCATCGCTCCAGGTTTTGAATGCTTTGGGAGAAATGACACTGCATCAACGTCGATCTAGCCATTTGCCAGATTCCATAGACCGGTGTGGTTGTACCATGGTATGACAGATCCCATGTATCTTGCGTCCTCGTGTTTGTTGAGGAAGGAATTAACATCAGGTTGGACGTTGGATGGTCCCAACGAAGGTCGTATTCACAATAGGTGTCAATAATAGAAAGTTTATCATTAGTCTATTCAGTGTATGAAGTGCTTCCGGCTGCCTCCTTACAGTTCCATATCGTGTGCAAGACAAATTCTGTCACATGCATGTTTGGGAAGACCGACTAGACTTAAAATGTGAAGAGTATCGAAACTAGTCTCAAATTTTCTTGATTCCGCGAAATTGGACTGGAATCTGTTGCACATTCTTTTATGACAGAGCAATTTACGAAATTCTTCCCGAACGAAGACCACCCACGAGGGACGGTTGTACTAGGTTGAGATGTTCTCTTTGGAGCGAAGCCAGTTCTATTGATCCAGGAACCAGTGCGGCGACCAAGAACTTTCTTCTCAAGGCTTCTAAATGAGTCGCGCGACCAAGGCCACTGTTGTCTATGAGAATCATTGCCGGGGAAAAGTACGGAACTGCTACATTCAGTTGGCCATTGCCCTGCCGCGGGATTCTGCAAACTCTACTTTATGTCCAGCGTTGTATGTGATCCAATTGTAAATCTTGAACTTCACCAAAACTGCTGAGTTCAGTTAAGTTTCGCATGAATGCCCCAACTGTAAGGGAACTGTATCATACCGGAGTAGCATTTCTGCTGATTTTGTTCTTGTCCAGAGCGAAATAGACTGCAACGACAGACGACAGCCACGGATGGCATTGTGCCTTATGTACAATTTGCTCTTCCGAATTTCCAGCTACCATCCGGGATTCGGTCAGTTAATGGCCAGATCTACTTTCGTCCCTCTTTAAGAAAAGCGGACTAAAGTTGTACTTTTCTGTGGAGAGGTCAGTGAAAACCCATACAGTTGTCATCACTGACGGTTTCTCCAATTGCGGAATTTCTCCGTGTACTTTCGATCAGAATGATGGACAAAATACCTCCATAAGGACCGGAAGGTTTTAGCGACTGCCGTCTTACTGCTCACCAGAGAATTTCTTGTTCAGAAATCTGCAGTTATAGAAATTGATGAGGCAGTCGATTTCTACTTCATAATGGTAGGTTATTATATTCGAACGGCGAGCTCAAGTCAGTTGTTCGCTTCCGGCCCACATTTCTGGTGTGTAAGATTAGGGGGACAGCTAAAACTACAGACCAAAACTGGATGTATCGTTAGTGTACACTACCGAGTCATGATTATGTTTTGGAGCAAAGGCTCCAGGAATTCTTAAAAGTACTGATGTGTTGAACCACCCGATGACGTCAGTTGTGATCCAAGTCTCCGGTCGCTCACGTAATGAGTGTTCCTGTTCCTCAGCTGAATGATCCAGATTCTCCAGCTCAGTAAAATGGATGCCGCGAGGCACCGCTCAAATAATGTACGGCAGTCGGACTCATTTTTTCTAACTTACACGCGTAGAACGCGTGTCTCATAACGTCACGACTTTAGAACCTATGCTTGGTAACCGAAAATTGTAAGTTGAAGTCTGTTCCAAAGTGCCTAATGAATAGAAAGATTGTGGAACTGTGGATCAACAAACTACGTTTCAAGTAGCACATTGTGTGGTGAAATCAATGCTTGTCCTCGGAAGTACACATTCAGCTGTGGCAAAAAGTCAAACGAGATCACCGTCCTGTTTAGTGCGATGGATAGCTAACTCTTCACTTTGAAGCAGTTAAAAATAAAATCTACAAAGGCTTTTGGAGGCTATTTTTGCTTGATCGTACTGCGGTACAAGCTAATAACTTCACTTTGACTTTTTATTGAGTAGGCTCCGTCTCATAGCTGAGCACGACTTGATAACTCTGATAGAAGTATGAAAGCTTCCGACACTTCAGGTTTGTTCCATCTAGGTTGGGATCCCGACTGCTCCAGCGTACACAAATTCGAGTTAAAAGCCTATCTTATTGTCGGATTACGTGTGCCTACAGGGGTGTGACGTCACTGCCTGGTATGTAGGAGAAGTTGTGTTTGACGTTACACGGTAAACGACATGGTTAACTTCATGGAGTATTATTCTGAGACGGACAAATCACAGATGAAAGGGAGATGAGACAACCAATGACACGGAACGGCAGACTCATCCCAGGACGATGGAATAAGCCACAGTGCTCGCTTCAGTAAACCCTAACGGAAAATTGAATCGCTTGGAGCTTAGTAACGGCCTGGCTAGTAACCATTGCGCGACTATCAAATTGAAAACAGTACCAGACTATATTTTCGGATGCACGTAGACCTCAAGAATTAACTTCATGCAATTTGACTAGCTCTCATGAGTTTCTTCCACAAACAGGAATAAATTGTGACAAAAAGGAGGTCATTTCCCTATAAATTGAACATTCTCAAGAGGGATTAGTCTTCATTGGCTCGTCAAGGAAGTTTTAATAGTAAGCTTCTGAAGGGAAAAGAAAGTGCCCGTTTTATTCAGTCTTTTGAGTTGGACTCTGCAGAAGAGGCAGTTGAGTTCTACAAGGATCAGTCTACAGTGACCATTTTAGATGTGAGTGTAGTGGCTACCCCTATCCGTATGACTCTATGTGATGTCACATTGTTATTCTTCCATGTCACAAGTTCACCCCGACACACGCCCCTAGATATATAAACGAGTATACTACACGCACATAGGACACGAAAAGAGGGAACAACATGCGAGAACGAAGTGCGATAATTGGTACACCTTGATGAGACAAAGTACAATGTCAGAATGAAACAGTTCAAAAAGGCTGACCTATCGTTTTGAACATGAGTCGCAGTAATTCCTCCAAATTTGTGCGGACGCAGGTAGTGTTTTCTTTACAGGTTCAACTGCTACGCCCTCTGAATTGTCCGTGGCCTGGGCGTCAATGGCTCCGCGTTTCCACGCTGGGTCAACCTTTGCTGTTGTTCTCTCGTTTCGTGTCCTGTGTGCGTGTAGTATATTCGTTTATATATCTAGGGTCGTTGAGGCGTGTGTCAGAGTGAACATGTGACGTGGAAGAATAACAATGTGAAATCACATAGAGTCGCCTCGACGCGTACGAACAGAACTTTATTCGGTCAAAGTTGTAGGCAAGTCACGATGTTGTCGTCGTTGTGGGGTAAACAAGACAATAGACAGTATATGTGGATGTGCTAATAAAATTAGTTCCAGAAGTAAGTTGACAGGAGGGTAGACGCTACAAATGCTCCTCTCCCTTAGCGAAAGACGAAACAAAAAACGCGCATTACCTAGTAGGGAATTATCCCACGACGAAACGATCTGGCCAGTGGTCGTATCTATCAGCTCAGGTGATGCGTTGTTAGTCTAAATGAGTGTCACTTGCTAACGGTGGAGACGTGAGGGAATGCGATGAGTCCGAATTAGTGAGCGATTCGAAGTTACTGTATTTCGTAGAGTCAGCGCAGGCCAGTTTAAGGCGATCCATAACTGCAGGCGTATCCAGTAACTGAACCGTAAAGTGTTTGTCATTCCGCAAAAGAACACGAAAGTGACCATCATACGGAGGTTGCAAAGGTGGTTTAACCCGGTCGGAACGTATAAACACAAATGAACAAGTTGCGAGGTCAGGGGCTGTATAAGACGGTTTGTTAGTTGTTGGCGGTGAAGAATAGCGTAGGTGTGACATGTAAGATTTCAATTTAGTTACGTAAGTGACCGGGTTGCCAGGAGTAGGTGAATCTGAATTGAAAAATTGTCCTGGGATACGGAGAGTCGTTCCGAGACTAAGTCAGCGGGTGAACAATGCAGTGAAGAGCGGAACATTGTGCCTGAATGTAGAAATACAATGGGCAAAGTAGTCAGACCAGTTCAGTGGGTTGTCGAGCGCACGAAGAGCAGTCTTTAAGTGTCGATGAAAACGTTCGACTAGACCGTTTGCTTGTGGATGATATGCAGTGGTTCGGATGCGTTTGCATCCAAGTAGTTCCGTCAGACGTTGGAACAATTGTGATTCGAACTGGGAGCCACGATCCGTGGTTATGAAAAATGGTGC